CGCCTGTTGGATCAGTCATCCATGTCATCTGCCTCCATCTGAGTTTGGGCTGCCTGTACGCTCGGCTGGACAAACAGCAGCTTGAGAGGAAAGAGAGGCCTGGAAATCCGGCAGGGCGGCTGGAAGCGACTGCATTTTATCAAATTCAGTTGCTTGAATGGTGCCACTTAAGCAGCTCCTAAGATGCAAATGAAAAACAGCGGATGCGCGACGCATGGAAGTCGTAGTTGTTATGCGAATAATGATGGCGAGATGCATGCATAAAGGACACTAAGTAGTAGTGACGGGTTTGCTGTAAATGCTGCTATAAAGAGCATCTGAGGGTGGAAAAGAAATGTGAATGCTGCACATAAATAAACAACCCCAACACCATCATAACAAAGTGCTTTGTTTCCAATAAAACAAAGAAAGTACGCCTTACATGGATCTTAAAATGGTCCCAAAGAAACCCATTACACATCAAATTGCTGCACATAAAGAGGGAATACCTATACAGCTTAAAAAACAGTCAATAAAACTAAATGAATGCCTATTTGCAAATACAGGGGAACCCTTTTAGTGTTTTTTACAGCATTACCACACAAAAAATCCTAAAACACTTGATTACACTTCAGTCATGCTTTCTATGCCTCCTCTATCAGCCCCAAATTGCCTGTTCATGCACTTTAAGACCAGAAAGAGGCTCTAACAGACACAAAGATTTTGCTTTTTAGTTTCTTGCAAGACATATGAATTACAACCCCTGCATTCCACATCAAAGACTAATAATGAGGTGGCTGCAGCTGCTCTTGCTCTTGGTCAGCGTACGTCCACATTTACAGTTGCTCTCCCTGTCCACATAGTTTATCTAGCAGGCATGACAATAATGAGCACCTCCGCACGATAAAGCTGTCAAGCAACACAGGACACATCCTGTAGTGTGCCACAACCACAACAGCTTTCATCATTCGGCTCTGAGCAAGCACGCTCCTGACATGCTCCCGCGGTGTGAGCACACATTATTCCGCAAACCCGGCTAAAATCCATGCCATTAACCAAGCATTTCTCTCCTCGCAGTCACCCGACACAGAGGCACTATGTCAAATGTCTCTGGCATTGACTGTCCACAGAGAGGTGCAAGTGCTCAGACAAAGAGAGTGATTAATTATTCAAAGAGGCTCACTGCAATCCATTACATCACATGCATTATGAAGCAGCCTGATCTACGGCACCTCTTCAAAATCTATCAGTCTTAAGGATGAGGCTGAAACGGACAGGACACTACCTGCTAGGTAGACAGCAGGACAGGTAAATAAAGGGCTGCAATTAA